GTGGATTCCAGCAACATCGACAGCTTTGTGAACTGCACCAAGATCCTGGGCAACCTGGACTTCCTCATCACCGGCCTGGAGGGGTGAGCTGGGGGCAGGGGGGGCTTTGTGGTCCCCATCCCCCCCTCCTACTGACGGCCACGGCCTGCAGGGACCCCTGGCGCAACATCTCAGCGCTGGACCCTGAGAAGCTGAACGTGTTCCGCACGGTGCGGGAGATCACAGGTAGGAGCGGAGCTGGAGGGGGGGGGTGCTGGGACCCCCGCGCAGCCCCTGACCCCCCACCCCCCTCAGGGTACCTCAACATCCAGTCCTGGCCGAAGCACATGCACAACTTCAGCGTCTTCTCCAACCTGGAGACCATTGGCGGGCGCAGTCTGTACAAGTGAGCCCCCCCCCGTTGGTCCCCATGTCCCTCCTCTGCTCATCCCCCCTGCCTCTGGCCTTCCCCCATTCCTTCATCCCACGTTTTCCCTCTGTGTCCCTCAGCCGTTCGTCCCCCAGCGCCCCTTTGCCATCCCACACCCCGCCGCGGTCCCCTCTGTCCCCATGTCCCCACATCCCTCAGCCGCGCGCCCCCTTCTTCCGCACCCCCCATCCCACTGCTGCCCCTCCGTCCCTCCTTCACACATCTTCCATCATCCCCTCCGCCCCATTCCTGCCCCCCCACCCCGGTCCTCTCCCTCCTCATCATGAAAAACGACAACGTGACGTCGCTGGGGCTTCGTTCGCTGCGGGAGGTGAGCGCGGGTCGGGTTTACATCACCGAGAACCGCCGGCTGTGCTACCTGCACACGGTGCAGTGGGCAGCGCTGTCCCGGCGCCGCGCCGACCTCGACATCCGCAACAACAAACCGCGCGGCAAATGCCGTGAGTGAGGGGCGTGGGGGGCGGGCTGGGGTGCGATGGGGGTCTGGGGCTGCGCGCTCAGCCCCCCTCCCCTGCCCCCCGTTCCTGCAGAGCAAGAGGGGAAGGTGTGCGACCCGCTGTGCTCTGCTGACGGCTGCTGGGGGCCCGGCCCTGCGCAGTGCCTGTCCTGCCGACACTACAGCCGGCGCGGGGTCTGCGTGGAGTCCTGCAGCTTCACGCAGGGGTGAGGGGGGATGGGGGGCAGTGGGGGCCGTGGGGATGCGGGGTGTGATGGAGGCCGTTGGGGGCGTTGGGATCAGATGGAGTCTGCGGAGAACACGGGGATGTGGCGGAGCCCATGAGGGGCGTCGGGGTGGGAGGGACCCCTTGGGGGGGGCTTGGAATGGGATCGACCCGACGAAGGGCTTTGGGAGGGGATGGACCCCATGGGTGGCACTGGGGTGTGATGGACCCCTTAAAAAGCGTCGGGTGGGACGAACCCCAAGGGCTGGGCCGTCCCATGGGGGGTTCTCAGCGCCACCCCCCACCCCGACCCACAGTGAGACGCGGGAGTTCGCCGAAGGGACCGAATGCTTCGAGTGCCACCCGGAGTGCGAGCGCGTGGAGGGCGGCGTCACCTGCAACGGCTCAGTATGGCACAGAGGGGGGGGGGCAGCGGGGGCGTCCCATGGGTGCTCAACCCCCCCTGCCCTGTAGGGCGCTGACACCTGCACCCGCTGTGCCCACTATCGTGACGGACCCCACTGCGTGGAGCGCTGCCCCGAAGGCATCCTGGGCGAGCGCGGCCCCATCTACAAATACCCAGACAGCAGCCGGGAGTGCAGGCCCTGCCATGAGAACTGCACCCGTGGGTGTGTGGGAGGAGCGGGGGCAGGGGGGGCGATGGGGGGGAATGGGGGCAATGGGGGGGAATGGGGAAAAAAGGGGGCAGCGGGAGGGAATGGGGTGAAATGGGGGAAACGGCAGAGAATGGGGTGTGGTGGGGCAGTGGGGAGAAATGGGGGCAGTGGAGGGGAATGGAGGAGAATGGGAAGCTGTCAGAGCAATGGGAGGCTGCGCGTGGTGCACGGCTCACCCCCCTGTGCTGCCCTCCCCTCTGCCCCCCCCCTCCCCAGGTGCACAGGGCCATTGCTGCGGGACTGTCTGGGGGACGCGCTGCCCAGTGCCAGGTATGGGGTCTCCAGGGGGCTTGGGGGGTCCCTCAGCCTCGTTGTGCCGTGCTGTGCCACTTGGGGCTGTTCCCTGCCCGTGTGTGCCCCCCTCCTGGCCGTGCTGTCTCCCTGCTATGGGGCACAGCCGTGGGCAATGCGTGGGGCGGCTGGCACCTGAGCTGAGCCCCGTCCCCCCACCCAGGAGAGCCCCCACAGTGATCGCAGTGCTGGTGGTCGGGGGGCTCTTCCTCTCCTGCTCCTGCGTCCTGCTCTCCCTGCTTTATTGGCGAGGCAAGAAGATCCAGAAGAAGCGGGCGATGCGGCGCTACCTGGAGCGGGGTGAGGTGAGCAGGGGGTCCGGCGGGCAGGGGGTGCCCCCTCCATCCATCCCCTCCTGCACCCCTCTGTGTCCGCTGCCCCATCCATCCCCATCCATCCTCATCCCTGCCCGCTTCCGCTCCGTTTTTCCCCATCCTCCTTTTCTCTGTCCCCACTCCCCCTGCAGAGCCTGGAGCCGCTGGACCCCAGTGAGAAGGCCAACAAGGTGCTGGCTCGCATCTTCAAGGAGACGGAGCTGAAGCGGCTGAAGGTGTTGGGCTCGGGCGTCTTTGGCACCGTGCACAAGGTGAGGGGGGCTCAATGGAGCCGGGGCAGCGCTCGCATCCCACCCCCGTCTCATCCCCCTCCCATCCCACCCCACAGGGCATCTGGATCCCGGACGGCGACTCCATCAAGATCCCAGTGAGCATCAAGGTGATCCAGGACTGGAGCGGGCAGCAGTCCTTCCATGCCGTCACCGACGTAAGTCCGGCGCTGTGCCCCCCCGCTGCCCACCACTCTCCTGACCCGATGCTGACCTTCCCCTGCCCCCCAGCACATGCTGGCCATCGGCAGCCTGGACCACGCTTACATCGTTCGGCTGCTGGGCATCTGCCCCGGCCCCCAGCTGCAGTTGGTGACGCAGCTGCTGCCGCTGGGCTCCCTGCTCGACTACGTGCGCAAGAACCGCGGCAGCATCAGCCCGCAGCTGCTGCTCAACTGGTGCGTGCAGGTGGCCAAGGTGAGCGCTGGGCTGCGGCCGGGGGAGTGGGAGGGCCCCCCCCCCACCCCCCCCCGCCCCCGCTGACCCCCGCCCCGCACGCAGGGCATGTATTACCTGGAGGAGCACCGCATGGTGCACCGCAACCTGGCGGCGCGCAACGTGCTGCTCAAGTCGCCCAGCCAGGCGCAGGTGGCCGATTTTGGCATCGCTGATCTGCTGTACCCCGACGACAAGAAGTATTTCTACAACGAGGTCAAGGTGGGGCCCCGCGTCGCTGCGACCCCCTGTCCCCAAACCCTGCGCCGTGGGTCCCCCCAAATCCCATCCCATAGAGCCGTTCCCATCCGGATGTTCCCGGTACCCGTGTGCCGTGAGTCCCTGCTCTGCGCGTTCCCTCCACCCCCAGCTCTGTCCCTGTGCCCCCCGGCCCCTCA